GAGAGAGAGAGAGAGAGAGAGAGAGAGAGAGAGAGAGAGAGAGAGAGACTGTAGGCACACATGGCCACATGGTGTGTCTATGGAGAACAGAGGACAGCTCTCTGGAGTTGATTCTCCCTTTTCCCTGTGGGTTCCAGGAATCTCCGGCCATGAGGCCCGAACAGTAAGCACTGTGACCCATTGAGTCATCTCACTGGCCCCACAATGGAGTATTTCTCAGCTCTAAAGAAGAATGAAGTCATGCCATTTGCAGGAAAACGGATGCAGTCAGAGACAGTCACGTTATATTAATTAAGGCAGACTGAGGACGACACACAAATACTGCCATGTTTTCTCTCACCGGCACTTCCGTGATTTCACATAGAAACAGAAAGTCACTAGTGTATGTGTGACATGAAAGTAGAAGCGAAATTGTCCAGGGGACGAAGGGAGCTAACGGGAACAGGTAGGAGTGGGGAAGGAGGTGGGAACTGTATCAAACCCATCGCACTGTCGGTATGAAAATGCCTTTGCGTAACCCAGTACCATGTGCAATAGATGCACACCAATGGAACGAAAAAAAAAATTTAAAAATTGTAAAGGAAAAAAGTCCTTCTCCTTTTTTTAATTGCTATCATTAAATGACATCTCTGTGAGCAGGTGATTTTAAGATCGCAAAGGGGCATTAGCAAAGTAGTAACTCTAAAGAAAAGATACTGTCCTCTGGAGTCGATTTAAATATTACCAACGGGGAATTCTAGAACCCTTAAACTGTATTTCTCCCTTCTCTGGGCCACGGGAACTCATTCTCAGACTGACAGCCAAGCTCATGCTAGAGGTGAGGGTCTGAGGAAACCATGGATCTCATCAAACTCCTGGTGTTAGAGGTGAAGAAACGGAAAACTAGGAAGGCCGGTGCTGTCACAACACTTGTACTGAACTACTGTCCGTCCCCTTCCAAACTGTGGCACAGGAGCCCTCCACATACCTGCACTACTTTGTCTGACAGTTCAACTTGTCCAACAGAAAGGTGACCATATGCCATAGTCCCCGTACCAAAGCAGGAAGTTCTGTGCTTGGTTGACAAGCTCATGGATCTTAAGGCTGTACAGCAAGATTTAACTTTCTTTTGAATTATTAGAATATAGGCAATTGCTTTCAGATGCCCAGAGATGCAGGGATGAGCCACTGCCCAAGGATGCAGGGATGAGTGGTAGCCCAAGGATACAGGGATGAGCCACTGCCTAAGGATGCAGGGATGAGTCATAGATCTCATGTGCCCCCTGTCCCTGACAGAGACCAAAGCAAACAGAGAAACCAAGAATTGAGAACAGAAATAAACTCACCCCCACACTTGGTCAAGACCCCCCTCCTCTTCTGTGGTACACTGCTCTGGCCCTAACCCCAAACAAGAGCAGTGGGAGCAGAGAGGAGAAAGTGGTCATGCTGCTGGAAGGTTCTTCCATGAGAAGAGAAGGGCTAGGATCCATCATGGTGAGGGCTTGGTGCCATGACTGGTTCAAGCAGGCCTAATTTAGAGTTTACTGCTCTAATCTTAACACACCCAACCTTCTGGGCCTCAGCCCCCAGTGCTATTTTATCTTGTGAATACGGGGAACAAGTGAAAGAGATAAATTCAAAACAGTAAAATTTTCTGTGGGAAAAAAATATGTTCTTAATCTCAGAAATAAAGAAAAAGAAAAAGAAAAGAATGTGTTCTGTCTTTCCCCACTTTGGGGATATGTTATTTTCCAGGGATTGAACCCTATAAAACAATGATTCTCAACGTGTGGGTCATGACCCCTTTGCAAATCGAATTGCCCTTTTCACAGGGGTCACCTAAGACCATTGGAAAACACAGCTATTTACATTACAATTCGTAACAGTAGCAAAGTTACAGTTATGAAGTAGCAGCAAAAATCATTTTATGGTTTGGGGTCACCACGAGATGGGAACTGTATTAAAGGGTCACAGCATTGAGAACCACTACTACAAATGTTCACACATGCTGGACAAGAATTTTACCACTGAGCTACATTCCCAACCACCAGCACCCCAACACACACACACACACACACTTTTTCTTTTTTCCAGAACATCCTCTTTAAACACATTTCTAGGAAGCAGAAAAGAGGCTAAGAATGAGGAAGGTTCTGGCGTGTATGTAACTAACAGGGCAAATGCCTGGAACTTGTCAGCTGCTGACAAGCCGTTGTCAATCTAAGGGAGACAAGAGAAGCCACAAAAAAAAAAAAATCACTAAATCACTGGTTATTTGGTTAGGTAATTTCACATTTCTGGGTTACAATGGTTTCTGTATTGGGAGCCGAGTCATAAATGAATTTGCATCCTCCCACTCTATGGGTGTTCCTGTGAGTGTCATATACACATATGTGCTTAAAAGAACAAGGTGGGAAAGCAGGCATTTGTTAAATTAAATGCCAAGCCTTGGGATAGAGAAGTACAATTAACAGTTTTAAGAAACTAACTCCCACGTGTGCTTTGCCCGTGTGTGTCTGTGCACCATGTAAGTACCTAGAATGACAGTTATTAATCCCATTGCACAGTTCAAAGCACCCATGGCTCAAAGAATTAAAAAGAAAAGAAGAAAAAAAAAAGCCTGTTCAGGTTCTCGAGGCTGCTAAGCAGTAACTATGACTCACACCCAGATCTCTATCCAGAGCTATATTCTTTCTGAACATGATGCATCTGACACAGCCTTTGGTGACTACTGTTCAAATGACTGAACACAGGAAATTACTTATCTCAGAATACTTCTATTTTTCTTTTCATTAAGGTCATGAAAGTCATCCTTACTAAACCAGGGGGGGTCGGGGAATCAGTGGTATGCCTTACAAGCCATGCAGTTGAATGCAATTGAATGCTGTTTAGAATATCTGCCAGGGCTGGGGGACAGGACTCAGTGGCAGAGCCCAGGCTTAGTGTAGACCAACCATGGATTCAGTCCCTAAAACCCATGAGACAAACACCTATCAGTGAGTGCAGTAAGAACCAGGCAGCCAAATTGACAACTTAGAGTAGTCTCCAGACCTTTTACTAAAACAAAGAGAGGTAGTTTGGTGCACTGGGCTCTAAGTTTACTCTGGCTAAAATCTATAGTCACCATTTCAAAAATCGAACACCAGACAGCTACCTCCTTGAAAAACTTGCAGCCATACTTGAAATGTGATGCCCAATTTTACACAGATTGCTAACGAAGGAAGTCTCTGACCTACAGAGAGAAATACGATGCTCACTAGCAAACTCCCAAAAGGAACTGCTCTGGGGTTCAGGGAGACGACAAGAAACAAAAAGCCTGCGTTCCAGCTGGACACAGCCAAAGCTGTGAATTAACCTCAGGTATTAATTACCTGGAGCTCTAAAAATGTAACTCTAAATCCTCAGAGGTGGGAGGCACACAATTATCCCTGCGCACAGAAGAAAATGTTTATTGAGCTATCTGTCATATTGATTTTATATTTATTTAGTGTATTGGCTTCCAATAGCAAGGAAAAATTAGACTGTTGACATCAATTGAGCTGTCTTCCTCGTCCCTCCCCCAACTCTACCGATGACAGAGAGCCAGTAAATAAGTTTACAGCATTAGCAAAGGACAGTCAATACGACAAGCACATTCAACCAACAGCTCCTTCCCAGGAGCCAGAACACAGCACCAAGGAAAGAGATGAAGAGAGGGAGAGGAAGTCCACGCCCCCTGCATTTAAGGAGGTTGCCTTCAACTGATCACAACACCAGGTAGCACGCCAATCCTTCAGAAAAGATGGCAGGAGGAAAACTACAGGGGTTCAGAGGTGCTCACTGGAGATCTCAGCTTCCTCAGCAGCCAACACAGAGGATCAAAGACACAAAGGCAGTAAGTGAGAAAAGAAAAGGGATTCACTGGCTACCATCGGGAAATTATAGACAGCTCGTATAAAATCTGACAGACCAAGAAGGATCAGTTAGCTGTATCCTGTTTTAGCTAGGGCTCCATTGCTGTGAAGAGACACCAAGACCACAGCAACTCTTACAAAGGAGAACATGTCGTTGGGGCTGGCTTACAGGTTCAGAGGTTTAGTCCATTGTTGTTATTGTAGAAAGTATGGCAGCGTGCAGGCAGATATGGTGCTGGAAAAGGAGCCTGGAGCTCTACATCCGGATCAGTAGGCAGCAGGAAGAGAGAGTGACCCAGGACCTGGCTTGAGAATTTGAAACCCAAAAGCTCGCCCCCAGTGGCACACTTCCTCCAACAAGGCCACACCTACTCCAATAAGGCCACACCTACTCCAATAAGGCCACACCTCCTAATAATGCCACTTCCCATAAGGCTATGGGGGCCATTTTCATTCAAATCACCACACTTATTTTCCAGTAATTTGATATGATTTGTTTTGCATTGCCCGGATTAAGTGTTTAGTTAGTGTACAAATCATGACATTTCCATACTCATAAATCATTGTACTTTGCTCCATTTTAATTCCCTTGCAAATACTCTTCTCCCACAAATGCTTTGCCAACTGCTTTTGTTACACACACACTTAGATACTGATCCTTCCTATGAAGGAAAATGTGATTTTCTGTTTTATCCCTAGTAATTTCAAATATGGCTGTTTTAAACTATACAAATTAAAGTTCTAATAAACAACATTAAAGTGTCTATACTAAAAGCTTGTTTTAAATTTTAAGTTTAAATTTAAACTTTTAA